TTTGTAGAGGAGGGGGTTTCACTGTGTTAGCCCAGGATGGGCTCGACTCCTGACCTCGTGATCTGCCCGTTCCGGTCTTTTCCGAAGCATGCCTGAGATTACACTGCGTGATCCACCGGCGCCCGCCGCGCAGTTTTTTCTTGAATTTTTTTTTTTTTTTTTTTTTTTTTTTTTTTTTTTGAGACGCGAGTCTCGCTCTGCGTTCGGGCCTAGGCTGAGTGCAGTGGCCGCGATCTTCGAGCTCACTGCCAAGCTCGCGCCTTCCCGGGTTCATGCAATTCTCCTGCCTTCAGCCTCCCGAGTAGCTGGGAGTACAGGGGCGCCCCACTCGGCCGGTCTAGTTTTTTGTATTTTTTTTTAGGCTTAGAGACGGGGTTTTCACCCGTGTGCCCAGGGATGGGTCTCGATCTCCCTGAGCTGTGATCCGGCCCATCTCGCGACCTCACAAAAGTGCCTCGGGATTACAGGCTTGAAGCCACGCGCCTGGCGGTTTCCTTGACATTTTTTAAAAATTTATTTTTATTTTCCTCTTTGACTCAATGGTTACTCACAAGTGTATTATTTAATTTCCATATATTTGTGAATTTTTCATTTTCTTGCTGTTATTAATTTGTAGTTTCATTCCATTGTAGTCAGAAAAGATACTTGGTATGATTTCAATCTTCTTAAATTTGTTAAGACTTACTTTGTAATCTAACATGCAATCTATCATGGAGAACGTTGCTTGTGTGCTTGAGAAGAATATGTATATGTATGCTGTTGAGTAGAAAGTTCTGTATGTTTGTCAGGTCTATTTGGTCTATGGTATTACTCAAGTCAGCAGTTTATTAATTCTGTCTGGTGTTCTATCCATTTACTGAGAGAGGGATATTGAAGTCTTCTATTATTGTATTGACGTCAATTTCTGCCTTCAGATCTGCCAATATTTGCTTTATGTATTTAGGTGCTCTAATATTAAGTGCATGTATATTTACAATATTTGTGCTTTCCTGTTGAATTGGCTCTTTTATCATTACATGATGACATTATTTGTGACAGTTTTTGAGTTAAAGTCTATTTTTTCTGATATAAGTGTAACAACTTCTGCTTTGTTTTGATTACCATTTGTATGGATTATCTTTTCTATTCCTTAACTTTCAGCCTGTATCTGTCCTTTAAGCTAAAGTGAGTCTCTTATGGAAAGCATATTACTAGCTCTTTTTTCTTTATCCATTTGGCCACTGTATGTCTTTTGATTGGGGAATTTAATTCATTCACCTTTAAGATAATTATTGACAGATGAGGACTTACTATGGACATTTTGTTGTTTTCTGTCACCTTTGCTATTGTTTTGTTCGTGTCTTCCTCTCTTACCGTCTTTCGTTGTTATTTGACGACTATCTGTAGCAATTTCTTTGATTCTTGTCTCTGTATTATATATATATCAGGGGTTTTGTGCCTACCATGAGACTTGTATAAAGTATCTTGTAATTATGACTTTTTATCTTAAGTTGGTAATTTAACTTGAATTGTATACAAAGGCTTTACATTTTTACTCCACACTCTTGGTGTTCTTGAAGTCGGTTTGATTCTTTGTATAGTATGTATCTATAAACAAATTTTTGTGACCCTAGTCATCCCTAAAATTTTTGTCTTGTAACTTCATGTTTATGTTAAAAGTAGTTTATGTTCCACTATTACATTGTTGCATTGTTCCATATTTGTATATATATTAACCTTTACTAGCAACATTTATGCTTTCACATTGCTCTTTACTATGTTTTTATTTCAATTTGAAGAACCCCTTTAGCATTTCTTGTAAGGCAGTTCTGATGGTGATGAACTCCCTCAGTTTTTCTTTGTCTGTAAAAGACTTTCTCCTTCATTTTGAAAGGATAGTTTTGATTAGTATAGTATTCTTGATTAGCAGGGGGTTTTTTTGTTTTTCAGTATTTTCAATATATTATCTATCCCGCTCTCTCACGGCCTGCGAGGTTTTTGCTGAGAAATCTGCTGACAGTCCTATAGAAGTTTCTATTTATGTGTATAAAACCTCTTCTTATTTTAATTTTATGGACTGCTTTCAGCAGGTAAAAACCTTCTCTTGCCTCATTCTCAGACTGATGGGACTGCTTCTTGGATCACAGTCAAGTGGGGCTAGAAGTGGGTCACATGGCTATAGCCTGGTCTGCAGTTAGTTCCGCGGTCTGCAGTCCTGTTACGAGGGGTATGGGCAAGCATGGTTCCTGCCATGTCGTTTTGTTCTTGCTGCTTTCAAAACTCTCTATTTTTGACTTATGACAGTTTAATTATAATGCGACGTGTTTCAGCATAGGCCTTTTTATGTTCAACCTATATGAAGTTCATAATTTCTTGAATCTGGATGTTTATTTTCTTCCCCAGATTTGGGGGCTTTTCAGTCATTTCTTCTTTAAATAAGCTTTTTGCTTCTTTCTCTTTCACTTTTCCTTTTGAGACTTACATAATGTACATGCAGAGTAGCTTGAAGGTGCCTCATAAATTCTGTAGCCTTTCTCATTCTTTTTTATTTCTTTTTTTGTTTTCTTTTTTCTCCCGTGGCTGGATAATTTCAAATGCCCTGCCTCTGGGCCCAGTACATGAACAAAATGAGAGTTATGATTTCTACATCTTTGTTAAACCTCTCATTTTGTTCACGTACTGTTTTCCCGAAATATTGATTTAGTTGTCTGTTGAGCTTGTAGCTCACTCAGCTTCCGTAAGACAATTATTTTCAATTTGTTGTCAAGAAATTCATAGATCTATACTTTTTAGTACTTGGTTACTGGAGCTTTATTAATTTCCTTCAGTAGTGTCTTGTTTGCCTGGTTCTTCATGATTCATATACCTTAGTATTGGTATCTGCTCACCTGAAGGAGCAAACACCTCTTCCTGTTTTTATAGACTGCTTTCAGCAGGTAAAGGCCTTCTCCTGCCTCCTTCTCAGACTGATGGAACTGCCTCTTGGGTCAGAGTCAAGTGGGGCTGGAGCTAGGTCACACGGCTGTGGCCTGGTCTGTAGTTGGTCCCACAGTTGACAGTCCGGTTACCAGAGGTGTGAGCACGCATGGGCGTGGTTCCTGCCAGATCCCCAGATTGATGGAACCACCTCCAGAACCACAGTTGAACAAGGCTAGAGCCTGGTCATGGAGCTGCTTCTGTTTCTGCAGTTGAGTCTGCAGACAGTCGGTCTGCTGCCAGAGAATACCTGCTAAGTGTGTGGCTCCACCAGGTCCCTGACAGAACAGACTCCTGTCAGGGCCCTGTTTAGGTCTCTGGGCAGGAAGGACTTCCCCTAGTACTGTGATAGAGCAGTGCTGGAGCCAGCTCACAGGACTGCAACAAGGTTTACAGTCAGGCTCAAGGTCCGTGGGTCTACCATGAGGGGCATGTATGCCACCAATTCTGTGAGCAGGCAAGATTACTCTGAAACCATGACAGAAGGAGGCTGGAACTGAGTCTCAGGGCTGCTTCCGGGTCCATAGCCAACACTGACTTAGGGACCACAGCAGGGACCGAGGGCAGCAAGCCTGCTACCAGGGGCATGGACAGACATTACTTGGTCTTTGGGTGGGCAGGACTGAGAGCAGGGCAGGAGCTGGGTCACAGGGACTCTTCAAGAGCCACAGTAAGGACCAAGGTTGGTGAATCTATAACCTGGGGCATGACAATGTGTGTTTCACAAGATCCCTTCGAAGGCAGCACTGACTCCAGACTGGTGGTAGAGCAGGGTTGAAGCCAAGTCACAGGGCCATTTCAGGATCCCCAGTCAGGTCTGTGGCCAGTAGGCCTGTTACCAGAGGCGTAGATTGGTGTGGCTCCTCTCAGGTCTCTTGTTGGATAGGGCTAGTTGCAGCACTGCAGTCAAGCAGGGCTAGAGCCACATCCACGGGGGGACGGGGCTGCTTTGGGTCTGTAGCTGGAACCATGCTCAGTGAGCCTGCCACTGGGGCATGTACCTGCCTTCTCAGAGTACCTCTCCTCAGTCTTGAGCTTTGCCAGGGTTTTGTGACCTCTTATCTGGATCCCAAAGCTCCCACAAAGGCAGTTTTGTTCATGAACAGCTGCCAGACCATTGTTTGTGTTGGGGAACATGAGCTGGAGACTTATTCTGCATCTGCTGGCAACTGCAGCCATTTACATTTGGCCATAAGAAACTAAAGTTCTCCATAGCCAACATATTCCCACGACTCCACACAATTTCCACACATCTGGAAATAAAGGTGACATTCTTCAAAATAATATTTCAATAAAACCTGTTCTCTGACTTTTAAGGGACAAATGATTATTATGATCAAATTATTAGCTGACTTATAAAGTTGGTTTGCCTATTTTGAACCCAATTATTGTCAAGCCTCCTGGAACGTACTGGTTAAATGTCTGACACTTCTCTTTTCTATCTTTTCCTACTGCCAGCACCCTGGTTCAAGTGCCTATGTTTGCCCTTCAGCAAATCTGTCTCTTAACCTCCTAATTTCTCTAAATAAAATAAACTCTTCATTCCTTCCAATTCATTCTCCACTCCACTGCCACAGTGATTTGTGTTAATGCAAAAGTAATCATATCACTCCTAAACTCCAATTAACATCCTTCAGTAATATCCCACTTCTCCTAAGAAAAGTTTCCCAATCCTAACATGGCACATAGCACTGTCCAAGACAGTAGCCTCTGCTGTACAAGCCACATGTGATTATTGAGCACTTGAAATGTGGCTTATCCAAAATTAATTACTGATATGCCACCCCTCACGACCTGTTTGCATTTATATAAAACCATTCAGCACCTAAATAAAAATAATTTACAGTAAAAAGTTTCTAGTCTCACCTCTGCTATATGGGAAGATTAGAAGTCATAGCTCCCATCTTACAATAAGAAAAGCTGAACAAACTGAAAATCTGTGACTTTAGTTGGACCCATCTGAGACTGAGGTAGCAGGGCAAATCACTGCCCTGAAATCTACAGAGACAAGTACATCCAGAGACTCATAGCCAAGATCTGCTTACCTGGAGCAGAAGCTGCTGGGATCATAAACGCAGCCACAGGTTCCACATGGTGGCTATAGTTAGATTGAGGATTTGATTTGTCAGCACCTGGCAGATGTGGAAGGCTTTTTTAAGAAATGAAACCCAGAAGTAAAACATTTTACACATGGCATGAAACCTAAAGAAGAAGAAGAAGAAAAAAGTGTGACTACATAAAAATGAAGAACATCTGTATAACAAAAGAAATGTTAAAAGATAACAAGAGGCCAGGCATGGTGGCTCACTCCTGAAATCCTAGCACTTTGGGAGACTGAGGCGTGTGGATCATGAGGTCAGGAGATTGAGACCATCCTGACTAACACAGTGAAACCTCGTCTCTACTAAAAATATAAAAAATTAGCCGGGCGTGGCGGCGGGTGCCTCTAGTCCCAGCTACCAGGGAGGCTGAGGCAGGAGAATCACTTGAACCCAGGAGACGGGGTTTGCAGTGAGCCAAGATCACGCCACTGCACTCCAGCCTGGGACACAGAGCGAGACTCCATCTCAAAAAGAAAAAAAAAGAAAGATAACAATAAAACTCGAAGGAAATGTCTGCAATATAGGTAACACAAGGTCAACATATATAATATTAGGTTGGTGCAAAAGTAATTGCGGGTTTTGCCATTACTTTTAATTACTTTTAATGGCAAAATCGCAATTAATTTTCCATCAACCTAATACATAAACAGTACCTACAAATAATCTTTTAAAAGACAACTCAATATATTGAAGGGTAAGCAGGCATTTTGAAAAGTATATATTTTAGAAGGCGTCTAGTAGATTGAGAAAAAAAATTTTTTAAAGAGAACGCTCAGTGTTCATAGAGATGGGGAGAAAAAGGCATTCTAAAATAGCATTAGCAGGAATGTATATTAGTAAATCTTCTTGGAAGGCAGTTTGTTTGGGCCAGGAATTTCCGCTCCTAGAAAGGTATTAAATACTAGTGTGGACGTAAGACACATAAATAAGAGCAAGTTCTTTTCACATTGTTTCTAATATGGAAAAATTAGAAACAAACTAATATTCACTACTAAGAACTGACATAAGTAGGATATACCCATTCAATAAGATTCTGTGTAACTGATAAAAGGATGGTTGTAACTCATCTATTCACCTCGTAAAAATGTCCACAATTTGTATTTCAACAACAAAAGCACAGTAAATATTGAGAGTTTTATTATCTCAAACCAAGGGATTTAATTTATGTATTCAAGACTTCTTTAACGGCCCCACAATGGAATTTCACAGTTTTCTTCCAAAAGGCTCTTTACGTTTTTGGTTAAGCTTGTTTCTGGATATTTTACTTTGTGATGCCAATGTGAATGGAAGATTTTCTTCCATTAAATTCCGTATGTAAATTTCTGTATAGCTTATATAAAACCTCTTACTGTTCATGTAAGAAATCTTCTGATTTTGTATATTAACTTATAATTGGGCACCTTAATAAATTATGTTATTGTTTCTAGTAGTTTGATAGCTGTACCTACCCATTCTGTTTTTTATGTTTCCTTTGGTATTCCTGGAGAAAAGCTGTTAAATACAATTGTAGTTCAGTGGAATGTTATTGCTAAACACCTGGGAAAAGAGAAAAGGAAATCATAAAATTTGGAAACGAAAGTTTTTTACAAAATCAGGCAACTACGTGGTTCCCGAAATAAGGTTCCTAAAGTCGTTCTCAATCTAGGCAGTGATGCTCCCTCTTTTTTTTTCTTTTTTTTTTTTTTTAGGCAAGCAGCTCTTTCTCCCCGTGAAACTTTGGACAGAAGCACAATGTCTGCAACTGAGCTGATTTGACTGACACCGTGGTAAGGGCAGCTGCCTGGGTAAAGGGGAAGCCTCCTCTGAATCCTTGAGAGACTTGAGAACAATGCGCCAAGCACAGTCTGAAAATCTGTACAGCTTTCTGCTCTCCTTCCCCTTTCATTCCTGAATATGGAGCTCCTGAAGTTGAGCACGCATTTTTTTTTTCTTCTTTAGTCCCAACTCTTCTCTAGAATCTGTATTTCTCTTCTGCCATAAAGGTCAGTCTATTTCAATGATAGGGGTCCCAAGATAACTTTTAGACACAAAAACAGGGAATTTGTTTACGGTCTCGATGGAATGTTTCATGATCACCATATCCTGGGATTTGATTTGGCTTCAAGGAACCAGAAAACAAAACACTGTTCATGATGATTCTTTGCTTTAAAATTTAATCAATTCTTGAGAATTCTTACCTTTTTAACCTTAAAAATATAGCACAGTAATGAACATTCCATTGTTTCTGCTGATTCCGTGTCCTCCTGCAAGTTATCAATTTAACAAAGGTCTTATTCTGAATGCCCACCGTTGCTTGATGAAGGAGAGCTTCTTCACAAGTCAGGAAATCAAATCAAACCAAACTGGAGGAAAAGCAAAAATATTAAAACAGTATGGATCCAGGATAAGGCTTTACAAGAGCAGGGCTTTCATCCAAAACTGTTCCTGGTACAAATCATTCTTCAAGGCCCATTTACATAATTGGCTTAACTGAGAGGTCTGCTGTCTGGCAAGCACCCGCTTATAAATTTGGTTCTTCCAGTCCTATGTTAGGCAGAGCTGGCAGCTGTGCTTTGAAATTTCTCCTTTTACTATCCTGGCACACTTCTACATGTGCTTGCATAAAATTCCATCTGGTAGTATATGGGGTGATTTTCACTGGAAGACTGCATTTGGTGAGTAGATGAGATAATGCATCAAAAGTTTTCCACATGATGAAATTGCCGCTCCTAGCATTCTACTTTTTGATTAACAGACTAGGCTAAACTACATTGTTTTCGAGCAAAAGCTTTCTATTCAAATCATGTCTTATGGCAGAAGGAGCTGTCATGCTCTGAACTATCACACTGACCGGGGGTTTTCTGTAAAATAAACTCTGTCAGCTGCCAGAGGCTCTACAGAAAGTAAAGTATGGCATAGAGATTCAGTGAGTATGTTTGATAACTACTTTGCCACAATTGGTGTAATGAGAATAAATATCCAGCTGAGAAAATTATAAGTATCCAAACTCACATTACTTAATTAAGCTTAGCCAGGACTGAATGCACTAGTCATTTTGCCCAGAGCATGCCCCGGTTTCACTTCTCTTTCTTAAAATGTTCTTGTACACCCATCCCCAGACTTAAGATAAATTCTAGTTTTCTCTTTGGCTTTAAGTGTAGGCTTAAAAGCCAAACAATGCAATATTTCATAGCTCGATGCCATATATACAAGTTCTATCGGTATCATTTTCTTTCTATCCGGAGAACTTTCCCATTGATTCAGACTATATTCCATATTTGTTTTATGCATCAAGTGTTGCTGATGAAAAGTCTGATATCATTCTGTTTTTCTTTCTTTGGTAGATAGTCTGTGCTTTTATCACTGGTAGATTTTTGGATTTTTTTTTTTATCCCTAGTGTTTTCAGAGTTTCCCCCCACTCCCCTGCCACCCCCAGTGTTGGGTTACACTACACTTGGTTAATATTTGTGAAAGGTGTAAGGTCTGTGTTTAGGTTCATTTTTTTTTTTTTTTTTTTTTTGCATGTGGATTTACAATGGTTCCAGTACCATTTGTTGAAAAGGTTATTATTCCCCTATTGAATTACCTTTGCTCCTTTGTCAAAGATCTATGTGGGTCTGTTTCTGGGATCCTTATTCTGTTCCATTGATCTATGCCTATCTTGTATGTCTGTTCTTCCACTAATACCATGCTATCAGTTTTCCCTGTGTCTTCATCCATTTACTGTCACTATAATAGACTACCTAAGGCTAAGTAACTTATAAAGAAAAGAGATTTATTTCTTACAGTTCTGGAGGCGGGGAAGTCTACGATCAGGAGTCATATCTTGTCAGCTTCTGGTGAGGGCCTCATGCTGTGTCATAACATGGCAGAAGGCATCACAGGGCATGACGGGTACACTGAGAGCCAAACTAACTTTTATAGCAGACTCATTCTTATAAGCGCATCCCTATGATAACCTGTTAATCCATTAATCCATGAATGTATTAATTCATTCATTAGAACAGAACCCTCATGACCCAGTCACCTCTTACAGGCCCCACTTCCTGATACTGTTACAATGGGGTTTCAGTTTTGACATGAGCTTTGGAGGAGTCAAACATTCAAACCATAGCAATCCCCAAGAAAGGTTTACCAATATACTCTCGTTTTAAAAATTTTTTATTTTAGATTTGGGAGTATGAGTTGTATAGATAAATTCATGTCATAAGGGTTTGTTGTACAGATTATTTCATCACCCAGGTATTAAGCCCAGTACCCAATATTTATATTTTCTGCTCCTCTTCCTCCTCCCACCCTCCACCCTCAAGTAGACCCCAGTATCTGTTGTTTCTCTCTTTGTGTTCATAAATTCTCATTATTTAGCTCTCACTTAAAAGTGAGGACATGTGGTATCCGGTTTTCTGTTCCTGTGTTAGTTTGCTAAGGATAATAGCTCCCAGTTCCATCCATGTTCCCACAGAAGACATGATCTCATTCTTTTCATGGCTGCATATTATTTCATGATGTCTACGTACCACATTTTCTTTTAATGACATTGATTTACATTGACCTTTTCCCTACCTCCCTAGCAAGACTAAATGTTATCTATCCTTTTAAATTTTTATCCAACCTATTAGATTCCCCCCTCAAAAAAGCCTTTAAAAAAAAAAAAAAAAAGTCTACTTGCACCTTAATGTAATATATTCCATTATATTTTTAAGTGATTTATCAGTACCCTTTACATATTGTGTGGACCTTTTGTTACCAATATTGCAACTAGTTCCTTCCAGTTTCTTAGTTATCTTCTAGCTTTTTTTCCTTTTAGTGTACAGAAACTCTTCATTTTTATGTAGTCGAACCTGTCTTTAGGTTTCATGTCTGGCATAAGCATTTTACTTCTGGATTTCGTTTCTTACTTAGAAAAGCCTTCAACATCTACCAGGTGCCTGCAAATCAAATTCTTAATCTAATTGTAGCAAGCATGTAGAATGTATGGCTTACATATTTTCATTTGAAATTTTCACTTTTTCATCTCAATATTCTTTTCTTATCTACATTTTTCCTTTTCTTAAGGTTATTTAATATCCAATTTACCTAAAATATGTAATACCACCTCAATAAATGTTTGTCTCTTACAGGAAATATGCTTCCAGAATAAAGTGAGTAAACATAAATATACATTCCACTCCTAGATATATACTCAAAAGAATTGAAAGAGGCATTCAAACAAAAACTTGTATGCAAATGATCATAGTAGCACTATTCATAATAGCCAAAAAGTAGAAACAACCCAAATGTCTTTCAAATGATGAGTGGATAAGGAAAATGTGGTAGATCATACCGTAGAAAATTATTCAATCATAAGTAGGAATGAGATACTGATACATGCTACAACTTGGATGAACCTTGGAAACAGTATGCTAAATGAAAGACCAGACACAAAAATGTACCTATCATACGATTTCATGTATATGACATCAGGAATAGGTAAATCCATAAAGACATAAAGCAGATTAGTGGTTTCCAGGGGCTTTGGGACAAGCGTAATGGCGAGTGACTGCTTAATGAGTACAGGGTTTCCCTTTGGAGTGGTAAAAATCTTTTGGAACTAGATAAAAGCTATAGTTGCAAATATTTGTGAGTATACTACATGCCACTGAATTGTACTTTAAATGGCTTTTTTATGTTACCTGAATTTAGCTCAGTTTGTTTTTCAAAACTACAAATATATCAATAAACATTTCTTTCTAAAGTGGAAATTTTAATCTCTACCTATCACAAGTAATTGTTCTACTGCTTAGATAATATACAGTAAGTTAAAATATTATATAAATATAAAATATAATGTATTCATATATTGTATAAATATAAAATATAATGTATTCGTATATTGTATAAATATAAAATATAATGTATTCGTATATTGTATAAATATAAAATATAATGTATTCGTATATT